GTGCACTCAGCTGCGGTTTTTCTGCTCTCCGCGTCCCGTCTGCCCGCAGTGGTAACGCAATCCCACACAACCGGCAATGGTTGGCTCTGGAGTTTGTCTGCTATACCACCCACCTGCAGCGCCAAAGATGTACGCAATTTTAGCTGTGGTGGATTCCCTGGAGTACCTGTCAGTGACCTGTGGTCCCAATGACCATGGCAAAGAAAAGCACAGTATTTCCCAATCTGACCCAAACCCGCTGTGTAATCTGCTGGGAGGGGAGGGAGTTAGCCTTTCTGGTGCACCAGCGAGATCTCAACCTGAGTTTCAGCAATGGTGTCCGTGTCCCGCTGCACCCTCACCTCCCAAATTACCGACAAAATCAGCCACTAGAAACAGGTCTTTGCTGCTGCCTGCTGGAATATTATATTGGTCACTATAAGCTGCTATAAGTGTTCTCGATTTTGGCTTGGGGATCTCAGGATGCCACCTCCACCCGGCAGACAGTGACTGCCCCAGAAAGGTTTCCAATTGTCTCTCTCAGGTGCCCGTTCCTCCTCCGGCAGTAGCTCTTTCCTAAAAAATCTCCCTGTGCTTTTCCTCCAATTCTGCTTTTCTGTGTTTGGTGCAATCTGATTCAGTGAGCTGTTCAGAGTGCCAAAAATCTCAATTCAAACTGTTGTACCTAGTTCTTAAAGTTCTTAGATGCTAGAGGGAAAAAACTTGGTGCTCACTGGTGAGACTCCATTTTGAATCCTTAATTGCTTACTCTCGCAACCACCATGAGTTGCAGCATTTTTCAGAATCTTGGCACCCAGGGGACACTCAATAAAATTTCATTGGTTTTGGTTGAATCAATGTGCATTCAGCATTCAAGAATATTGCATATCTATAAACAAGTGTTTGAAATGCTATATTCTTAACATTTGTTGTGTCCCTGGCTCTTTGTATGGTGACCTCTTGTGTTTCAGAATAGAACTGCACTCCATTGGGTTTTCCATAGGCTGTGACCTTTTGAAAAGAGATCACCAGGGCTTTCATCTGAAGAAACTCTGGGAACAGAAGAAACAAAAAAACAAGCTCACTGCTATTGAGTTGATTTTGACTCATAGCAACCCCCTTTGCATTTTTGAGGTGGTGGATCTTTATGGAAGTAGATTGCCCAATCTTCCTTCCTTGGAGTGACTGCTGGGTTTGAACTGCCAACCTTCTGTTTAGCAGTCAAGTGCCTTAGGTACCAGGCCACCAACCACCTATCTTTTGTTTAGTAGTTAAATGTTTAAACATTTGTGCCACCCAGCAACTCATAGATTTGCCATGAGGTGGAATCTACTCCATAGTGTCTAGCTTGATTTTTTGGCTCCTTTTAAAAGATGATAAAAGCTCAAGATCTTAATTGCCTCTTTTTGCTTTAAATATACAGATATATAATGTTTTAAAGAAGATTTTAGTGGGTCCATAGAGTCTCTCAAACTGATCAGATTGGGAATCTTCACTCTTTATTTCAGAATCTGTAAAATTTAGAAACAATCTTTAAATAAATCCTTATTTCTAAAATTTCCTGTTAGAAAAAATTTAAGTGTAAGTATATGAAGCTGCTACTATTAGTGACTGTCAAGGTGGTTCATATATATATTTTTAATGTTATAGAATCATGGTAGTTTTTATTTAAGTTTAAATGTCACAACCAGGGAAGACATATACAAGGCAAAAAGAATGATGACAGAGTGGAGAACATGTATAAATGCTTTTTAAATTGAGGGAAGAATGAGAATGTGGTACATTGAATAAAAATCAGTGTTTGCTTATTTCTTTAAAGAGTTAGTGATCCCAAAATTATGATCAGTTCAAGGATCCTTAATTTATGTTATTATATTTATTACAAAAAATATTAATATTGTAATATAAACCCACTGCAATCAAGTTAATTCCTACTAATAATGACCTATTTGACTGCTAACCAGAAGGCTAGTGGTTTAAACCCACCAGCTACTCCTCGGAGGGAAGGTTAGGCAATCTACTTCCATAGTGATACCATCTCGAAACCCAAAGAGAGGTAGCTATGAGTCAGATCCAACTGGATGGCAGTAAGCTTGGTACTTTTAATAGTGACCTGCATTGGGTTTCAAAGGGTGTAAGTATTTACAGAAATACAAAGTCTCATCTTTCTCTTTCGTAATATATTACATATTATAACAATTACTATATATTATTATATTTATTTTCATTTTACCATGAATTTTTCTTAAAAATTTGCTTGTAGGGTACTACGCTAAATTTGTATTTTGGGCAATGAGATTTATATTTGAGATTATAGCCTCAAGCTCTAGTCCATATATAAAGTAATTTTTACTAGCAAGAAAAAAGAAAAAAAAGTATGATTTAACATCTCATTATGGCAAAAAGTCAACCCTTCTAAAGAGGAGCTGAAAGAAAATAAAAACAGACATGTTTCATGAAAATTAGCATAATTGTCTTTCTTTTAGTGAAGAAAAACATGGCAGTAAGAATAGCAGTCAAGACTTGTTGATATACAAGTCCATATTTTTTTTTTTCACTAATTTTGACCATAGTTAGTAGACAAACACATAAGATATACATCATACCTATAATTATTCCTTTTATATTTAACTAAAATTTTCACTTGTGACCTCATTCTATATGGCTCAAATTCCTAAAGAACTTACTCCCATACCTTTATCAAAATGTAGTTAACTAGAGCATGTGTAACTCTGATTGCAATTAATATAACTTACTACCAATTGCCATCAAGTTGATTCTGGCTAATGGTGACCCCAGGTTGTCAGAGTAAAAATGTGCGCCATAAGATTTTCAATGGTGATTTTCCAAAGTAGATCACTAGACATTTCTCTGAGGCATCTCTGGGTGGACTCAAATCACCAATCTTTTTGTTAGTGGCCAGTCTTTTTCTTAGCAACCAAGTGTATTAATTATTTGCACCACCCAAGGACTCCAATTCAAATTACTATCGACCTTATTTTAGCATGGTTTCATTCAGTATAATCCCATTGTAATGCCAGTGCAGCCAGGAATGGTGTCTAAACTATACAGCTTTTATTGCAAATTTAGCATAACTTGGTTAAACTCCCTTTGTTTTCTTGATTAGTATCACTTTCATGTGCAAAAGCCTAAGGAACCTTCAATAGCTCTGCTTGTTTTGTTTTGTTTGCTTGTTTTGCCCCCAAAGTCTCTCTTTCTCTGTTCTTCCACTGTTACCTTCTCTTTATAATGCTCTAATATAGAAAAGACACTTTCCACTGGTGTAACTTATTTTCAGTTCTCCAAGCATTGATATTTTTCTCTTTGAATTCCTCCTTTAATGAATACTGTCCACTCATCAAGTTTCATTGCTTTTTGTTATGGTAAACAAAATTGTTTTTCTGGTGGTGTAGTACCTAAGGCATTTGAATGCTAACCAGAAGGCTGGTGGTTCAAACCCATTAGCTACTCCTCGGAAGGAAGACTGAGCAATCTACTTCCTTAGAGATAACTGCCTCGGAAACCCAAGGGAGGGGTCACTATGAGTCAGATTTGACTTGACAGCAGTGAGTTTGGTTTGGTTTGTTTTTTTTCCCATAAAGTCATAAGTCTACACAAGGGGCGTTTAAAAATAGAAGTTCAAATACATTTTTTTTTTGGCAATAAAGGGCAGAAACACTGATAAAACTGAGTATTTTGAAGGACAGGATTTATTTAGATGTATAAAAATTCCAGTACAGCTAAAAGGATATCTCTTTAACTCATTGTTATAATTCCTAAGGAAATTATCATTCTTATATTATTCCCCATTGTTATGAGAAATTACGGAGAATCAATCATCTTTACAGCTTTTAGATTTCAGTTCTATTCAACAATATTTATTCAGTACTGACCACATGCAAGGCACTGTGGTAGGCCCTGTGGGGGGTTAATTCAGCTTTCTACATTATTGCAGCAGAAGTGAACTTACAATTTATGCAGATTCTACTAAAGACTCCTATGAGGAACCACTGATTGTATAACTGTCACTAAGAAATGTTAATTTTTTTTTTATTCAACTACCTCTTTGATAGATTATGTTTATCTTAAATAGAAAGAGAAAAAAAAATCAATTCTGTCAGGTGTATTTATTTATTTATTTTCATCTTTTATCTAAAAAAAAAAAAAAAATTTTCCTTTAGATTAAAGAACATTTTATTAAGGAAACTCAGTTTTAGATTTCACCAGTATATGTATTTGAATAGTTTATATTAGATCAATTTTGTTGAAATATTTCATTTAAAAGTGCCTCAAAGTCTCTAGTGGTTTTACATTTTCTTTTCAAATCTTACATCATGATGTAAATATAATAATCCTAACCCCATTCCCCTAAAGTGCATTTACTTGAAAATCTCTACTCTTCTAAGAAAAATTATTCCTAGTTCCACATTATTTCAGAGAGGCACACTGATTTTAATTTCATGCTATTGTAGTAGCATTCTTGTTGGTGCCATGGAGTAAGCTCAGACTCATGTACAACAGAATAAAATATTGCCATGTGCCAAAGTCACAGTCCTTTCTATGATTGATTCCATCATTGTACCCACTGGGCCAATCAATCTCATTGAGGATCTTCCCTTTCTTGGCTGACTCTCTACTTTACCAAGCATCATATCCTTCTCCAGGGAAAAGTTCTTTCTGACAACATGACCAAAGTAGGTGGGACAAAGTTTGGCCATTCTTACTTCCAATAACCATTGTGGCTGTACTTCTTCCAGGACAGAATTGTTTGTTCTTCTGGTATTAGCATTAGAATTACTAACAATAAAAATAATATTTATGATGTAATTCATAGACTTTCTACTTTGTACCTGACAATATGCTTGACTGCTCATATATATTATCTCAATTAATCTTCAAAATAGTTAATGTGAAGCAATTATTATTATCCCTATTTTATAGAGAGGAGCTCTGGTGGCATAGTGCTTAAGGCATGTAACTGCTAACCAGAAGACTGGTGGTTCAAACCACCAGGCTCTTCTCAGAAGGAAGACTGAGCAATCTACTTTCATAGATAAACCACCTCAGAAACCCAAGGAAAGGTCGCTATGAGTTGGAATAGAATTGGCCGGCAGTGGGTTTGGTTTGGTTATTTTATAGAAAACTGGAGAGATTAAGTAATTTATTCCATGTCAATTAATCAATAAACTGTAGACTTGGGATTTGTTCTAAAGAAAAATAGGCTTGAGGATTTAAAAATGAGATCTTTAGAAATATTTTTACATGTCATAAATTAAACTACAAAGTACAACACACTGAATAAATACACTTTCAATACAGTATTGTACACAGAACTGCAGCAATAATGGGCAGCTAGATAATTATCAGGAGCTCTGGTAGCATAGTGCCTAAGGCACTGG